TGCTGGATTGTACAGCAAAATATACAGCCTTGGTGAGCTAAATATTGTGGGAATGAAGTTCAGGAATAAGTGTAAGCCCTGACAATGGCAGCAGAAAGTTAAAGTCCAGTATGTGCATTAATTTGCACCACATTTTTGCATACATTTAAAAAGTAGGTGTGTCAAGCTGTCTTTCTGTGAAAACTGCAAAGTTATATGGATTTTTAGGTTTAATTGAGATTATTGCCAGCTTCTTATTATAAGAATATGAGGCTCAGGGCATAGTTGAACAATACAAGTTGGATAATTGCTATAATATATTCCAGCAGCAGAGTTCATTGTTAAATGAAGTAATCCATGTTCATTTGGCATGTAAATCATTGTGATTTCACTTAGAGCAAAGAGTATAGTTTCCATATAACTCAGGAATGTGTATCATCCTATTAAAATCCTTTAAGCTACTTGCTGCTTATTTGTTCAGATGTTACATGGTAGAATAGGCCGTCGTGGAAGGCTTTGCTTACAGAAAGTTCAACTATTAAGATTTTCTGAAAGGATTTTTAAAAATTCTTTTCTGAAACTGGTGATTGAGAATGAGGGGATTCTGACCCATAGACCATATCAACCTGTTGGAGTACCCTGTATCTTCAAGCAGAGAAGATCTCTGATCAGTAGTTGATCTTCCCCACAACTGTGCTATGGTGAGGATTTGAAAACAGTTGTCTTGGTGCTAGTGAAAGCTGTTTTAAAGCTTTAATAATGGTAATATTTAGGGTGCTGATGGTTACATTTTCTGCCATTTCTCCTAGCATGCTTGAAACAATATGTATATCATTCCTCACCCCTCCTTTATCCTCACAACCATCTGGTGATGTCGGCCAGGATAAAAGAGTGTGATTGGCCCAAGGCCAGTCACCGATATTCAGGACTCAGAGGCAAATAGAACCTAGGGATTATATTTTCGGATATCTATAATTTCCTCTCACAGAAGTCACCTGGCAACCGTCAAGCAGGCTTGTGGGAGAAGAGAAACCAGGAGGCTAAGAGATGTCTTTCTACTGCCACTGTCTGCTTCATTCCAAATGTATCAGTTGGGAGTCACTGCTTTCTGGGAATTGCCCCAGTATACCATGGAATAGTAGTCTTACTACCCATTAAACTGAAATGGGAGGCCTTCACTGAACTACTCTTCCAATGGAGCAATTCAGGCAAATCCCAGGAAATCATGAGACTGAGGGTACATGCCTTCTTTTTTTCCAGCCAATACATATAGAATGACATAGACAAGGGCAGTAGAAAGACATTTCTTTTGCCTTCTGGTTTCTCCCCAGAAGTCACCTGGCAACTGTCAGGCAAGAGACCGGAAATCTTGGAATTCTAGAAGCCCCATATCTACTAGAACCTGAATCTCCAGGTCACAAGTCTCGAACTCGGACCACTGCACCTAGTGCATTCTAGGGGAATTCCCAGCAAGAGAAAGACATGTGTGTGTGTTTGAGTGGGCTCTAGGCCAGTGGTCAGGGAACAGGGGTAAATTACCCCAAATGGGGTAAAAATGAAAATCTTGGGGGTGATGAGGACGCAACCCTAACCCCCTTCCCTCCTCTTCCTCCTCTGCCCGGAGGGGGGTCCCCGGCTGCCCGATAACCCCCTTCCCACCCCTTTCTTCAGCCCGGCTGCTCCCCAAGTCCCAGAAGTTTGTCTGGGACATTCTAGGTCACATTTGAGACCGGAAATCTTGGAATTCTAGAAGCCCCATATCTACTAGAACCTGAATCTCCAGGTCACAAGTCTCGCTCGGACCACTGCACCTAATGCATTCTAGGGGAATTTCCAGCAAGAGAAAGACGTGTATGTGTTTGAGTGGGCTCTAGGCCAGTGGTCAGGGAACAGGGGTAAATTACCCCAAATGGGGTAAAAATGAAAATCTTGGGGGTGATGAGGACGCAACCCTAACCCCCTTCCCTCCTCTTCCTCCTCTGCCCGGAGGGGGGTCCCCGGCTGCCCGATAACCCCCTTCCCACCCCTTTCTTCAGCCCGGCTGCAACCGAGCCACGGTGGATGGTGATGGGCCCCAGTCAGCAGCCGAGGCAGGGGCGGCCATGGTGGAGGGCGAGGCCAGAGGCGAGTGACCGGAGCGCCCCAGCCAGGAGGAGCCTCTCTTTCCAGTGCCTGGAAAGGGGGATCACAGCAGAGGGGGGAGGGTGTGGCCATAACGGCAGCCCAGACCAGGCTCAGCCTCCCGGTACTGGGCCACGGCCGCCGCTCCATGACCTGTCCTCATTCCTGGAGGAGCCCATTGGGCGGCAGCGGCACCTGCCCAGCCACGTGGCTTCTTTCAGTGGCACCTCCGCGCTGGCTGGCTGGGCCTGGCAGAGCCTCTTGCCCTCCGTGTGGTAGCTGTCGCGGTGCTTCAATGGCAAGGCCCGCGGGATCCCTGACGCCGAGGCCTGATGCAGCTGCCCCAGCGAACAGCCGCCGATGCCGGAGCAGGAGGCGGTGTCGGGTCCCCCCCGGCGGGTGAGCCACCTGCTGGTGGAGAAATGGAGCCGCCCCCGCGGGGCCAAGGACTGAGCACGGCCCCGCAAGGTGGTGGTGGAGGCGGCCTGGGTGCGGGCGGCAGTGCTCAACTGATCCTTTCTTTCAAATCAAGGGGGTAATGTCGGTGTATATAATTTTTTTAGCTGGTAAAAGCTTAACAAGTTCCCTGACCCCTGCTCTAGGCAGTCATAAACCCTACCTACAGGGTATTGTCATGCTCCCTTTCTCACTGTGCTTGTCTCCAGCGAACGGGCCAAATAACTTTCTCCACTCTTGCTCAGAGTTACTGAGTGTACCCCACCTTATGTTCTAATTGGGCCCTTGAACTTTGCTTTTGATCAGATCACTCTGATACAACAGTTATAGGGTAGCTGCTTTGGTTTGTTCAGGCGAGAGAGGGAGGAAGAGGACTTCCCTTGGACTCTAAGTCCCAGAATTCTCAGGCCTACACAACCAGGGTTCAAACTGATTTTTCTACTCTGGGAGTTGTAGTCCAACAGCAGCAGCAGCAGCAACAACAACAACATTGCCATTCCACGGGGTGCCAGAGGTGAAAATAAAGAATTAGAAAAACTAAAAAAATACAGAAATCTGGCAATCGAGACATCTTGCACTATGGGGCAGTATATAAGCAGCACGCTTTAAAATGGTTACAAAATGCCATCTATTACTCCCCCTCTATAGTCCAGCAGATTCAGCCTTGGGTAGTCGTTATTCAAGAGGGTGAATGACCCTGACAGAAAGGAATGCCCTTTGGATGTAATGGAGCTGGAGATAGGTGGCAGAGCAGAAGGAGAACTGATATGGTCTAGGGCAGGGGTCCCCGACCTCCGGTCCGCAACCTGGTAGCAGCCTTTGGCCTAGGCCTTGGACACAGATCTCCTTTCCCCTCCCATGAGCACCCTTGCACGTGAGCACACACAGCCCCCTGTGAGCGTGCTGCGTGCATGTGCGCAAGCGGGGGTCTACAAGCACCACCGTGCACATGCGCACAAGTGTGCTCTGCCCCTGCGAGCACACATCTGCACTCCACCCCCGCACAAGTGTGCCACGCTCCCCAGTCTGCAGTTAGACTTGCATTCTCAGCAGAAATGTTAGTCATTACTTCAAGCTTGAAATCAGCTGGTTTATTAAATGAAGTTAAAACAGGTACCCTGTTTCCCCAAAAATAAGCCCTACCCCTAAAAGGAGCCCTAGTATGATTTTTCAGGATGCTTGTAATATAAGCCCTACCCCTAAAATAAGCCCCAGTTAAGTGAAACCCTGCCTTCCACCATTGTGCAGCAACCAGAAGAAGATGACATGATTGCATTGGAATAAATGTAGATTGGTATACATGAAAAAAATGAAACATCCCCTGAAAACAAGCCCTAATGTGTTTTTTGGAGCAGAAATTAATATAAGACCATGTCTTATTTTTCAGGGAAACATGGTAATATAGTCTTCGTTTCCATTTGTTTTGCCAAGATATTGTCTCTTGGGGTCAAATGTCCTTTCTTTACATCATCAACATCCCCCTCCGGGGTTTTAACTATATTTGCAACTGTAAATTGCCAAGGCTAATTCCATGCCCATGTTTAAGGATGAAACACCCAGCCTGTCACTGGCTCCCAAGCTTTCCTACCATGGGTTTTTGAGGGGAATGGTCTCTTCCCAAGATTGCTCCCAGGGGGAGTTTGATATGTGTGATTCTCTCTGTTCTTTGCCTTCCTCTCAAAATACTTTCCTTCCTCCCTGCCCCCCCCTTCAGTTTTCCCCCAATAAGGGGTTTTCCACACCTTTTTACTTCTCCGCTCCCTTTCTGCCACATTTCTGGGAACTCTTAATGGGACCCACTCTCCAGTTCAGGGGTCTACCTTTATGATTCCCACCCAGTCTTCCTCTACTTTCCTCTCCACCTCTTCCTTTGCTCAGCACTTCTCAGAAACTGTCCTGCCTTTACCACTCCACCTTCCACCACCCCCCTCTTTGCATCTCTTCCAACGGTTTTTCCCTCCCTGAACGTTCCAGAGTTCCTATATTCAAATCAGTCTTCTCTGCCCTTCAGTTTGCTTGTCTTCAGCCAACCCTTCAGGTTTGGGGATTATAGGGGACGGCACACTAATTGGTTCTCTTATCTCACACTGGCTTGCCTCACCAAGTTGTTATGGGGCTGAAGAGGAAATATAGCCATGTATTTTGCCTTGAGCCAACCTTCTGGAAGGTTGAATGTAAACTAGTAATTATTTTTTTGTATGCATCAGTGCTCAGCTCATCAAAAGTAATCATTTCTGAAGATCCCTTCTACTTCCATTAGACACCTTTTAGCATTTGCAATGTTTCTTCTTCAAATTCTTCCATGAAGTTTCCAGAATATGTAGTCAGTGTGGTGCTTTTTAAGTTTAGTATTACGAACGGTCCTTCCTCTGTCTCTGGTGGCTGAAAATGAACACATGGTGTGTATCACTGTTAACATTTAATTTACTATGCTTTCTTCACAGGGAAGTCATCTTTGACTATTCAGTTTGTTGAAGGCCAGTTTGTTGATTCATATGACCCCACTATAGAGAACAGTAAGTAATTGAATTGTTTTCCTTGAGCATGCAAGTACTTCTTTCCTATCTAACTTGCATCAGTTTGTTGATGTTGCTTTTGTTGTTTTTAACTGATTGATTAAAAAGCTTGCAGCAGTTTACCTTTAATTTTTTTCAAATCTTTTTAAAGGTTATTTGAATTTGACTGAAGACTGTGCCTCCTAAAATTTATTAGCTGCATGTTCAAAACATGATTCACATGCTTTTGGCAGTGCCAACATCATTGTCCTTCTCATGCCCAGTAACGTATAGTTTAGTATTCAGTCTTCCTTAGAATACTTGAGACTGCAAAGTAGGGAGCATCTGAGATTACAGGTAAGAATAAACTTTTTATCCTGAATTTGATAGCAGGATTGGTCTGGTTTCCATGTCAGAATAAAGCAGAGTTCTAATCATTTTTGCTGCAGGTGCAAAAAGCTTAATGTACGATGGACTTACTGTAACACCCCATTGTATCTATTCATGCATATTCATAAGTGGATAATATTAAACCAGTTGAACCATCACCTTGAAAAATAGCCTCTTTTATAATTTAGAGATTTTATCACTTGAAATCCTGTTGCACAGCACCATGCATGCAGCAAGAATGACATCATCAGCAGTGGAAAATCACCACTGATTAAAGGCTTCCTTTGGTGGTTTCAGGGTGCATATGACTTCATTGCATTTTGCATGAGTCACACATACCTCAGAATCACTGAATGAAACCTGAAATCAATTGAATTTTGCTGCTGAAGACATCATTCCTGTTGCGCACGTGGAGCTGCATAATTGGAGCCGTCGCTTATTGCTGTGTCCTCCTTTCAGTTTAATGTTAAAATTTAGTTGTCAGACAACTTCTATTTCCATTTTTAATTTTCCCTTTAATATTTAATCTGAATGAATGCCTTTCACCCTAAAAAGATAAACAAAGAATATGCTATCATTTAATATAATGTTGTATAATTGATGTACCTCAGTTTGATGTCTGTATACACCTGTGATACTCATTCTGTGGGGGTGGGTTTTTTAAAAATAATTTTTGAATCAAATCTAGGCTGTGCCACTAACCTTAAGTTTGAAATCGTTATTTGATCCAGTTGCTGCTTTGAAAAATACACATAGTATACAGTTAACATTTGGAAGCTACTGGTTCAGGAAGTGATCGAAGTAAGGCAATTGACATAACTATTTACACCCCTTCTGTACATGTGTGTGCAGCCTCTCAAACAACCACCACAACCAAACCTCTGCATTAAATTTGGGGTTGCTGTTTAAACTTTCACAAACAGATGACATTCATTCTATCTCAGTGCTCTGACTACACTAACTAATCTGCAGTTTTTAACTAACTAACTCTGACCCTCAAACACACCTTTCAGTACAAAACAGAAGCTCTCCATCTAGGAACTGTGGGGACCAATCAGATCACAGTTCCATTCATAAACATTCTTTCACACTTCTCAACTGATTTTTCTGCCACTTCTGGCATACATCCCACATACAACTGTCAATTAAGCTTGAGACACTTCCCACAAGTGTGAATACTGACCTTTATGTAAGATATATATACAGTATAAAATTGCTTCAATTGGTGCATCACAGCAAATATCCCTCCACAGTCTGGAAAACATATCCTTGTCTTTTAAATTATGTGGCTGTCCAGGTAAGGTGCTCTAAGGCAACTCATGTACCCTCAAGAGTTAACATTGTCCTATATACGCACATGCACACATTTTACCTCTCAGTGCTTGGCAAACAGGCAAGGCAAATGGGTGCTTACATGGTGTTTAGCAGGGGAGTTTTAGGGAGAGGATCAGACTTCATTTCGTCTTTTCTTTTTTTAATTGACTGACCTAATTGTTCAATAAGAGAGTGATGGAGTTGCTCCAGTTACCTGCAACAGCTGTGACATGTTTGCATTGCCAAAGGATGTGCCTGGCTACACATACACCACGTGAAAGTTAGTGGCCTACTTAGAAGATAAGGTCCGGCAGCTGGAGGCCCATGTTTCTAATCTTTGGATTACTAGGGAGCGTGAAGATTTCTTGGATGGGGCAGTGAAGACCATCTTTAATACAGAACACATGGAAAACATCATTGAGGAGGAAGGCACTTCACAAATATAGGAGGCAGACACGTGGATGAATGTCACACACAGAAGTACAGTGGTGCCCCGCATAGCGACAATAATCTATTCCGGATAAATCCTCGCTATCCGGAATCGTCACTATATGGGGCAAAAAACCCCATAGGAACGCATTAAACCCTGTTTAATGCGTTCCTATGGGGGGGAACTCACCGTTAAGCGGAAATCCTCCATGGGACGGCCATTTTCGGTGCCTCTAAAGCGAGGCAACACAGCAGGCGGCCATTTTGGAACCGCCGATCAGCTGGCCGAAAATGGGGCCTCATTTTCCCCCAGCTGAGCAGCGGGAGCTTCGAAGCCCCCACCGCTCAGCTGGGGGAGGGTGCCGGCGGTCGGCGGTGGCCTCGGAAGGACCCTGAAGCGACCGCCATTTGCCTTCTGAGCTCTCAAAGGGCCCCCCCGACATTGGAGAAAGCCCTTTGAGAGCTCGGAATGCTCTCAGCGGCGGCCCAGGAACCTTACGGAGAGTTTGGAGCTACAGAATAGATTCCATCCTCTCTCCCTTATTAATCAGGAAATGGACCAGCAGCAAGAGCAGCAGTGTCAGCCTGCAGAGAATATCCAGAGGACCCAGGAACAATCTGTACATCAAGTGTCCCCTACCAAACTTCAGAATAGTTGACTCCTTGCTCAGAGGAAGAGAAGCCACAATCTGCAAGCCTGACATGATCAGCCGTGAGGTGTGCTGTCTCCCTGGAGCCAAAATTCATGATGTAACAGGAGAGACTGAGAAGATTCATTAAGGCCACTGACTCTTACCCCTTCCTGTTGGTTCATGTGGGAACCAATGACACTGCGAGGCATAGCTTTCAGGACATCACAAAGGATTATGAGGATATGGGTAGGAGGCTGAAGGACCTCGGTGCGCAGGGTTTCCTCATCTCTCCTCCCTGTTGAAGGACAGGGCCCACAAAGGGAGAGAAGAAGAATGGAGGTGAACAACTGGCTCCACAGGTGGTGCTGCCAGAAACTATTTGGCTTCTTGGACCGTGGTCTGGTATTTCAGAAAGATTGTCTTTTGGCGGTGGATGGGGTGCACCTCACAACTGTTGGCAGTAATGTTTTTGCTAAGAGGCCAAAGATTGTCTTTTGGCGGAGGCTCACAAACCTGATCAGGAGAGCGCTAAACTGAGTTCTGGGAGGGGGAGGGAGACAAAAGTTTTTGAAACAAGGGTCTTCTTTGATGTGAGTTGATACAAGCAAGTACTGCAATAGATAGCATTTTACAGAGGAAACTTCTCTATGAGAAATCAGAGTACCTCTTGAAGCATGGTCATAATCGTGGATTAAAAATAATCAGATGTATGCTTTAATCAATTAAATGTTTTTGAATTGATCATTATAACCAGTTACATTGTACCAAAATCTCATTACTTATGCCGACTGGTGTGAATCCATCAGTGTAAATCTCAGCAACGAATTACTGCTACTTAAGAATTCAGCAGTTGTATTTCCCTGTTGCGTACCAATTCTGTGCCTCAGCACGCAACAAGAAGTGTAGTTGCTGTCTTCTTAACTACAGCAATTGGCTGCTGAAATTTATATTGATGGATTTACACCAGTGTAATTATTCTGTTGAGCCTCTTCACTAGTAGCTCTTTTATTTATTTATTTATTTGTATGCTTGGATCAGAAAGCGTTCTAGCCCTGCCTTTGCTCAAAGTTCTTCTACAAGTCCTTCATACCAGTCATTAAAATCATAACCATAATGTGCTGTGGACAAGAGAAATGCCTAATGGTACATTTTCCAGCCTATATTTAAAAAGTAAACCATAAGCCATTTGCAAACTGGCTTCATCCTGCTGTGCACAGTGTAGCTTATCACAGTGTAGCTACCAGTCTCTGGTTAGTTCTGTAACTGTATTTTCTTCCTGAATGTGTTCTGCTAGAAAGAGGAATATTAATATGGCAGCTAACCCAGTCTTAATATCTTTCACCAGAAGCACTCTAATATAGTGCTCATACTCATTATAGTTCTTTGGAGTATTTCTAGAAAGTTATGTTTTTTCTGTAAAAATCAAGTTGCAGATTATAATGGGCCCTTTGATGTCCAACTAGGAAATCATTTTATGTCTGTCCTCTGAATAGACACCAGTTCAGCCTATCTCAGCCTGATGTCCTTCAAGTATTTAAGACTACAGTTACCATCATCTCTGACCATTGTCCGTGCTGGCTGCATTTAGAGTCCAAATCATTGGTTCTGAGTATTGGGTATCTTACTTGTCTTTTTTTTTTCAACTTAAAATGGAAGGGGATTTTTTTAAAAATTCTATAATCGTCATAGCAATACCCAGGTTATTCTTTTATAAATGATAGTAATTAAATGCATTGAACAGAAAGGCTGGCATCTGAAACACTAAAATGCTCTTTTCTTATTTTTCCAGCGTTCACAAAGCTGATTACAGTAAATGGACAAGAATATCACCTTCAAGTAGTTGACCCAGCTGGGCAGGTAAATGATTTCTATTGTTTGGTGTTTTTCTTTCAAGTGTTAACATTGGCAGAATAGTTTAAACTACTTCGAGGTGAAAGCTGTTTTACCCAGAAATTAGTCTTGATCCATGGCCTACAGTTTGATTTTAGGTTCTATGAAACCAAAATATAGAGAGACAACTGGTGTGTTTTTCTGTTGTTGTTGTTATGCAGTTATAGTTGTTATTACACCTTCTAGTGCCTGAACAACACTCATCACAGGTAACAAAAAATAAAAGCAGTAACAATATAACAAAAATAACCATGTAAGAAATTCATTTAAGTACAACATCAAATAACTATGTTGTATATATCCAGTCAAATGCTAACTTTGATAGAAAACATTTTGCCATCTTATAAAACATCATAACAGTGGGACCAGCTGAATCTTCTGCAACTTGAATGCAGTAAAAGACAAAGCCCCCTTTTCTCATCTCCACGAACTGAGCCTCCACTAAATTCCAGACACAAAGATGGGTCTTTGTTAGTCCTTAAGACATAGATGTGCCGCTATATGAATAGACTGTTGTTCTAGTATCCTAGGCTTAGTTGAGCTAGACTTTTAAAGAGCATCACCACCAGTAGGAATTACACCTAGAAGCAATTTAGTAACAAGTTAAGAAACAGTACAGTATGTATAATTTGATCCGTTGAGTGAGTGCACATCAGTGTAACAATCCCAGGCACTTTCTGAACTAATTGCAGTCTCCACAGGCTCTTCAACTCTACAGTGCATTGCAGTAATACAGTATAAAAGACACTAAGGCATGCATCACAGTGGTTTAGTATGGCTGTGTTAGCAGTCAATGCAGTTCCTCTGCTCAAGATGGTCAACGGTGTTTTGGCTGTAGCTACCATCTGAGCCTTCAGGTGCACACCTGAGTCTGAATCAACCTAGGAATCTTCTTTCTCCAGATTGGGAGCACCTCTGTCATGTCTAAAATGTTTATTGGCCCTTATTAATTTCACTGCCACTTCCAGACACTAGTTTAGATCATTAATATCAATCTCTGGTAGCAGATGGAAAGTAGAAATTCAGCTACAAGTCATCTGTAGTACAAATTTCCAGACAATCTATCCCAAATTTCTAAGAGCTTTTATGGGGGGGGGGTGAGATTGAACCCTGAGGGACATTGCATGTTATGATACATCAGTTAAAAAATCATACAGCATTATTTTCTAAAACCGATTCTCAAGGAAAAACGAAATCCGCTGCAGTGTTACCAAATCAGTTCCCACAAAGTTATTCAGAAGGGTGCAGCAACTGAGTAGAGCTAAACATGCTAACATGTCTCACAGCACTCACAAAGATGTGCCCTCCCTGTCTAGATCCAGGTGGGATCATCTACCTGTTTGACCTAAGTTGTCCCAGTGCCAAACTCAAGCTGGAAGCTGGACCGAAATGGGTCTGGATAATATTTCTTTAAGCATCCAGCTATTCATAATAGAAAAGTGGCTTTTTATATTTAATTGAATTTTATTTTCCCTGCTATTTTGAAATAAAGATGGGGGGGGTCGTATATCCATTTGCCAACAGTGTTCAATTGGAAGATTATTTGAGAAGCATAAAGTCAGTGTAATATTAAATTAGAACTCTGCAGTATTAGAAACAGGAATAAGGAACAAAAACTGTTCTTTAGAGACTAAGCTAGTGTTCAGTTGGTGTGTTTGGTTTAATACTTGTCAGTGTTGGTGATAATTTCACTTTTGTTCTGCTTCATGGCCTAAGCATCTTTCTTTCAGAGTCTTTGTAATCTGTTGAGCATATGCTAAGTAACTTTAATGGATTATCTGATTTTCTGTCCTTAACAGAAATACAGTGTTGATCAATTTTTTAAATGTAGAACTGTATATTTTAAATTGTTTTTATCTTCTAAATTGTGAGCCGCCCAGAGTAGACTATGTCTAGATGGGCAGCATATAAATGCAATAAATAAATAAAAATAAATAAAATAAATTTAAGTCTAGACATATTCTGTTTTGGCACTTGCTATAAATTTGAGCTATAGATGTCCATATCACTGCATAGTACAGTAATTGTAAATTAACTGTTTTCACATTTCACCATAGTCCTTCATTAAAACGGCTGGTGTAAAGTTAATGTGCAGAAGCATATCATAGCAATAAAATGTTAGCCTTCCTCCGTGGTGTTTTACATTATAAAATGGGCCATTGCTGCCACTCTAGACTTTCGTATAGGAATTATAATCCTTCAATTATGCAAAGAATTCAGTGGAATCCAAGAAAGAACTTTGAAAATATGTTAGTACTGTAATGTTTATTCAGTCATTCTACCTCAACAGTGCAAATATTAAATAAGCTTAATCTTAGCCAGTTCTTCAGGCTTATTGATAAACGTCAGGGGTTACAAAACATTAAAATGCAATTTTATCTTCTGATAGGATGAATATTCAATATTTCCTCAGACATACTCCGTAGACATTAACGGCTACATTCTTGTTTACTCAGTCACATCAATAAAAAGGTAAGCCACACTTCCTGTGTTTGTTCTTAAAGCAGCATCTTCAGTTGCAGGCTGTTGAATGCTTTAGTCTTTCTGCAGCCAAGCGTTATCATTCCAGATGTTGTTGAACTTCAGTTCCCTACCTTGGCAGTCTGGCCGATGATCAGACATGGTGAGAACTGTAGTTCCACAGTCTTTGGAGAATCATAGGCTTCTCACTGTGCTCGTGCTCAAATACATCTGAATATTTTCCGGGGTGAACATGTGCTATTCATAAGAACTGTGTTGAGTTGTTATTTGCTTGAATCTTCAAGTTTGCGTTGCTTCTATGATATATTTGTGATCATAACTCATGAGCTAAATAAAGAAGTATTGTAGAAGTAATAGCATTCTATTGTTCCCCATGAATCATGAAAGTTGGAAAACCTGGCAGGAAGAGAACTGAATAGTATTTCAGAGAGTTACAAGCTTTTCCTGTAAAATCCACCTGAGAATTAACCAATTCCTCTGCTCTACCATAAGCAGTAAAACTACAAGAAATTCACATACTCAGAAAAGTATCTAAAACATTTAATTTGTTTAATTGCTCTGGGTAGGAACAGTTAACATTAAAATCTGCTTTGCTTTAAGGCTTAAATATACCATGGTGTGCTTTGAGTAGAAATTGTGGTTGTAATCATGCCATTCATTTAATTATTTTTTTCATTTTCATTCAGTGGTACCAGTCAGAATGATATTTCTGTCTTTTGCATCACTGCACACTAATCAGAATTTTTTATGCCTGAAGCACAAAGGGCACTTGATATTGCCTCAGGCAACCTGCATCTGAACTTTGCTGCTAATGTGCGAGTGTTAAGCATTCTGATGCTGTTAGGTTGCCTTAATTTCTAAAGCACAGAGCGCAGGATGACGTTATACGATTTTTGCAGGTCTGAAAGTTTCCCGCACTTTATATTGGCGGGTAGATTTCAAAGGTGAATTTATTTCAAAGTTGAATCATCCACTCATTTGATGCTAGGCCTTCTTGCCTCCTGGAAGAGAAATTGGCACCATCTTAAAGGAATTAATGCTTGATAACCTTAAGCCTATTACTGTGGGTTGGGGATTGCCCAAGGGATTGAAGACCTTTGGTCCACTCATTTATGAGGTTATCTTATGGCATTACTAACCTACAAGTGTCCGCCAGTCAGCGTAAGTGAGAGGGCTTGATACATTTGCACTGGGCGATTACAACTGGGGCAGATCTGCTTACTGGGGACAGCACCTGTTAACACATTGTAAGCACAGCAGAGGGCAGGAGATTAATGAGCAGAGTAACCTTGGCTTCTGTGTTTATAGTTAGCCCTTCTTCTTCAGTACTGGAAATTTCCATAGCTTAGACTCCACTTTCTGTGATGGGACTCAATTATCACTTTTTCATATGTGTGTGTTCTTGTCTGTAGTGTGGATAGAACGTCACTGACTTCATTTAAAACCATTTAAAAATAGGCTTCTTGTATTGCAGGCTAGATAAGCCTGTTTATAGTCTTCATAATAAAAACATTGATGTCGTAATTTTAAGTTTCCAAATTAGTATGCTGACAACTTTTGAGGTTTTACCATCTTGGATGTTGCTGTCTTAAGTGAAGATGACTTTTTCATACTAACATTTTGAGGGGGGACATACTATGAACAAGAGCTGTGTTCATGGGATTGAGAGTCACATGCTTAGAATGTCTTGCCCTGCAAGTGTATTTTATCTTGATCAGTCTGCTGTTCTGCAACTTCACTTTCAAGCTACCAGACTTGTGTTCCTTGGGTGGAGAGCTTGGATTCGGAGCCATTTTTGCAATATAAACACCCGCACTCGTGCTTTAGGCTGGTCCCGGTAGTTCTTTGTGGCCTCTGCGAATCACACCCTGGTGATCTGCGCCTGTGCGGAGCCTCATCAGAAAATTCTAGAGCTTCTGCGGTAGCAAAAAAAACCCCATTAGAGTAAGGCCCCTCCCCCCTCATATAAGTACCTTGGCGCCAAGGCTCCCCTTTCAGTTTCTTTCAACCGCTGCATTGAGAACTTCATAGTTCTGCTTCTGTGAGTAAAAGAGAGAGTTTATTCTTGATTCCTGCCTGTTATCAATCTTTTTTCCTTTAAACTTTTTAGATCAAATTCATTATCATCAGTGATCTTTTCTTTTCTCCTTCGTTTGGCCTCTGGCCGCAGCAACTCCCCCCCCCCCATCATCGTTTTTCTCCTCAAATTATTTTCTCCTATTCATCAGGCTATACACCAATATAGGCAGGAAAAAAGCACATGAAAGTTCTAAATGTCATGGACTGTAGTTTTCAGAATCCACCCTTGGCTGTTGGTTGAATTGGTTGGTTGCAATTGCCATCACCTACTGGCTGTGCTGGCTTCAGGTGACAGCAGTTTTGTCATATGTGATTATTATTTACAATGTCTCCTTGAGTGCTTTTATAGGGGGTCTCATCCCAGATTCTTAGTTACCTGTAAAGTTATTCTGTGTCTGTGAATAAGCCGGGTTCTGGGTTATTCACACAGGGAAGTGAGGAGAACTGCCATTTCCAGACCCCGTGAAGTGCACAGGATGGTCTGATTGTGCAACACAATTCTCATTTAGCAAATAGAAAGAAGGCAAAGGGGAAAAACAGTGACCTGGGAGTGTCTGGAGCATAGATAATCATGTAGAGAAGCTCAGTTGCAAAATTTGGAGAATAGCTGGTCGGTGGCTCAAACATTGCAATATTAGTGAGTAATGTTGGAGCCATGTTTTGGGTGCGGGTTTTAGGGGCCAGTGGTACCAAATGCATAACAATAGTGCATGTCTAGGAGAGGGTGTGATATCAACTTGACCCATTGAGGTACAGTGGTACCTCAACTTATGAATGTCTCCACTTGCGAACGTTTCGAGTTACGAATGGCTCAATTCGCAAAATGTTGCTTCAAATTGCGAACGGAGCCTTGAATTGCGAATGAAAAAAACCTTTCCTGCCCTTTTTTTGACCTAAGTTCATTTTAGATCAAAAGAAGAAAAAAAAATCTCCCCCTAGTGGTAGAGTACTGATTAACTGGCTTTGCATTAGTTCCTATGGGCACTAATGCCTCTACTTATGAACAGAGCCTCGACATACAAACGAAAAACAGCCTGAACGGATTAAATGGTTTTCAGTGCATTGCTATGGGGAATCTTGCCTCAACTTATGAACTTTTCAACGTACGAATGCCGTTCCAATACGGATTAAGTTCGTAAGTTGAGGTACCACTGTATTCAAGACTTGTGCATCCTCCTTTTTAGTCATTGTTTTTAGATTTCTTGTGCTGAGTTGGAATTCTGCCATTTACATCTCACAGATTGTCTTCCATATCCATGAACAATCAGACTGTCACAATAATTGTTTTGGCTTTTGCTTCTGTTTAGTTTTATGCACAACATTGAATTCCCCATCCAGTTGATTGGCGATAATCAGGCTTTTATCTTTCATTTTTCAAGATAGTATTCTGATGGAAACTGTAGTGTATATACTCTGTTGTGGGTGTGCAGATAGCCTTCATTTTATCGGGGCGTATTAGGCCAGTGGACTTTGCAACTGCTGTCCGTGGAACATAGCCGCTTTGGAAGGGGTTTGGCATATAACAGTACTTTGACTTCATGCTTTAAATTTCATCTCAGCCTTATTGTCTTTTATTTTCTAAAGAAAGTGAAATTTACATAAAACTCAGCTGCATCTCTCTTGTCATGGAAAACTGTACAGACTTCCTGCTCTCATTATTAGTTACATAAACACAATGAGGAAGCATTAATATTGGGTTTTCACTTAGATTTTCAAGGCACATAGACCGCTGTAAGAGTTAAATAAGGTAGTATTTCTTTGAGGCTTTAGTTTTTTCATAACTGTTTGTGGGCTGGGTAGAAGCATAATAGGATACAATGTTGGAAGGCGTGTATGATGGCATCCTTTTATTTTGCAGTTTTGAAGTGATTAAAGTTATCCATGGCAAGTTACTGGATATGGTGGGAAAAGTCCAGTAAGTAGTAACACTCTCATTTCATTCCATGTTTCATTTTGCTGTCATATTATTGCTCCTCATAAATTAGCTTCTGCTCTGAAACGGATCTCTGTTGTTGTCTCTATTCCACAGGATCCCCATTATGTTGGTTGGGAATAAAAAAGACCTACATATGGAACGGTAGGGAATACTTCTAATTTCTTGTAAGACTTTGTTGCGCCACTCTTAAAATTAAGATTGGAATCCTAAGGCCATGATAGCCCACAGACAATCACTGCAGATGCATGCCATGAAACCATACATGCAAATGAAAACCTTTCCCTCTAATGCCACACCTTAGGTATAAGATCTGACTTCCATCTAATTCTTCCCTCCTCGTCCTTTGCCTGTGTTTGCCTACGCTTGTAAATCCAACTATGCTTGGAACATCAGCCAGTGACCTACTTAATGGCAGACAGCCGTTTCAGGGAGCCAAGAATGTGCTATATTTAGCACATTTGTATCCTGTCCTTCTTCCAAGAATCTCAGGGCAGCCTGACTGGGTTATCCTAGTTCATCCCAGCTACAACTCTATGAGCTAAGGTAGGTAGCTGAGTCAAGGTGACCTAATGAGTCTCAGGGAATCCTTATTTATTGGCTGAGAGGGATAGCAAAAATTGCTGGCTCTGTGGTCTTTCAGGAGTCCGTGTGTCACATGTGCATACTATTGTATTCTCCCTATAATTTCACAACTAACTTTATTTTTATTGGACTAATTATTGAACAAAAATGTGTTTTTAATATTGAAACTGTTTGGGTGATCCCCAGACCTCTGGGATAAAGGTCTGAAACAGTTAAATGTATTTATAATAGCGTATACTATAGATAAGAGTTCCAAAGCTATTAACTAAAATGATTTTAGTTAGAATAAGGCTTTCATTTGCTACCAATTAATGCCTTGAAATGCCTAAATGTTGAGTGTAATAACAGATCAAATAGCAACCCCAGGTTTCCTGTGTTATATTTGTTCTTCCATGTCATTTGGGTGCTGCCTATTGCTTAGGCTCTTTTATCTTTGACTGTTTTGTCTGTCTTGTTTCTTCCCTGTATTTATCCCTTAGTGGCCCCTCTCTAAGCTTCTTTAGGCCCTAGAGGTGAAGCCTCTGATTCCTTCAACCACAATGTGCTTCTCAGAGAGCAGTCCTAATGTTCTGCGGTTAAATCCTCTGAATCTGTTCTGTTCTCTGCATAAAGCCATTTTTCTGGAAATGGGAAGCTTCTGGATTTACTGATTTGTTTGGTGGCTTGCTTATTTTACTCATTTATTCAACACCGCATTTTTCCTCAATGGAGGACCCAAGCCAATTCATGACATATATTAAAAACACGTCTCTAAAAAACCAGTAATTTGCTATATTAAAACACAAAACAGGTTACTATATAATATATTATAATATAGTAACTTGTTCTGTTATATATTATTATAATATTATTATATTAAAACAATATAGAACAAGTTACTATATTAGAAGCAAGCACCAAATTAAAACTATTTAAAAAAGAAAACAGGACCAGAAAAGGAGGGAAGGAGCTGATGATGGATAGAAGGAAGGAAGGAAGGAGCCATCATTAGAAGACGTTTAGCAGCCAGAAGTTAAGCATTGCATCTCTGAAGTAGACTTTTCATTTTGCCCTCAGGGATGAAAGAGAGCCTCTCGTTTACACTGCAGGAAAGACTGCCTTGGTGAAATAACTCTCTCCTCTAGTCACAGGAGAATGTCTCTGCAGCTCTGGAACAGTAAAATACATTGAACCCTCTTCTCATCCCATTTGCTAATTAATAAAAAGTCATTTCCCTGATGCTCATTTTAAAATGTTTTAAATTTCCCTCAGTCCACATGGAGTCGGAGTATTTATACGTTTGAGGTGAACTGGAAGTTTGAATTATAATAATGGACAGTGGTTAGATTGCTTTCTGATGCACACTATTTCCTTTAGGGGGGAAAAAGACTTTTCCAATCATGACCCCTGCCCTAGATAAGCAGCCACGTGAATAAGTGTGGCATTTACATCATTATTGTTCCAAATCTGTGTGCCCAGAATAATACACAGCAGTGTGCTTGTCATGCTGCTGTCATATGTAATTGGAGACAATGCCTGAGTCGTTGATGTCAACCAGATGTAGTCATCACTAAGACATTAATGTCACTGTGTGATCTGGATGAGCTTTAGCTATCATTCTGCATTCTAACAAGTGCGTTCAGGTCCCTTCAAAGTAAGGTGTTACCTCTAGTAAAAGTAAATGTAGAACCTTCTCCATTAAATGTTGATAATCCAAAGCAGTAGAAACAGCTTATCTCAAAGTCTGACAGTGCACATTGTCACAATGGACCGTGTGATGCTTCCTGGTCTGCGGAGCATTAACTATTTCCTGAAATCTTGAACATGAAGCCTTACAGTATCAGGCTTTCTAGTTTCAATATTTACTACATTTATCTATTCCCTTCCCCTCAGGGTGATCAGCTATGAAGAAGGGAAAGCTTTAGCAGAATCCTGGAATGCAGCTTTCTTGGAATCTTCTGCTAAAGAAAACCAGGTAAGAAATTGCAGTATTATGATGGCAGCAGAAATGGTTGCTCAGATATAAGTTCCTTTGGCAGCCTTTTTCTAGCTTTCACACTCCAGATCAGTTGGACTTCAAGTCGCATTCTGAGGATGATGGATCTTATAGTCTAACACATTAGGAGCACAGAAGGTGGTGGAAGGCTGTCCTAGTAAATGAGAGAGAAGTGGTGTTCTTGGAGCAAATCCTACGAGTTGCTAACGACTTATTTGTGTGATGGTAAAGTAATGACTTAGGCACTTGCATTCCTTTGACTTTCTCTGATTTCAAGAATGCTAGCATGACAGCTTCGAAACAGGTGAAAGATTTATTGCAGTATTTAACATTAAATGGGTGTCCATAACATGATCTTGAAGTTCATCTCCTTCTGCCAACGGATCCCAAAGGGGTTTCCAGTCTTCGAACACGAACAGATTCTCACAACTAGCATTCCATGGTCCCGGCAAATCCAAAGGGACCCAGTCTCTTACGGTCTGCCCCATTGAACCTTCCAACAGGGGCACAGTCCCGTCATCCCGGGCATCAGTCCACAGGGTTCATTTCTCTGGGTCTCGATTCTCCCAGGGTCCCCCCTGTAACTCTTCCTCCTCAACTCTCTTACCTTCCATTCCAGTTTTTCATTCCTTTCCCTCTCAACTCTCTCCTTTTCCTCTCTTACTCTCCTTCTCCACTCTCTCACTTCAGCTTCTCCCCAATATGAGGATACTGGTGGGATCTCCCTTCTCCTTATATAGTCCGCCTTCTCCTTAGGCAGTTTTAGCCTTTCCTGTGATCCAGTCCAGGGATCCTCTGTCCACACCCATTCCCAGCCTGGCGGTAACTGCCCTTCCTTCCTTTTTACCTCCCCTATTCCTGCCTCAAACTCCACCCTCTTTTTCCTCTCCTTTCCCACCTTTTTTCTGCATTCTTTCACTCCGTTCCTCTATCACTGTCCCTTGCTGAGCTCTCTCCGTTGGTTTGGGTGCTGGCTGGGGTCTTGCCTCCTTATCCTCATTGTGGAGGAGGGACGGCTCTCCAGTGAGTGGGGTATCCCTTCTGCCTCACATTAAACTGTACCTTTTCAGTGCAGGCTAGGCAGTCTCTAATTTCCTAACATGAAAGTATCAGAGAAGAAGAATATTGAAAGCTTGAGTAAAGCCATTCACCATATGTTCCTTATTTAAAAATAGCAGAATTTCCCTGTTTCAAAATATCATGAAGGATATATCAGAGTACTTTGCACTAAAATTGTGTTCTCATTTTCCTTCTGGAATAAAGAAACAATAACATGAAGAAGTTAAACTTCTATAGATGGAATTTTTGACTGGTTCTTAGTGCTGTTGGATCTTTCTAGAATTCAATTGATAGAAGAGTATAAAGTTAATTACCTATTTTAGTGCCGATCTGTGAATGGAAAACTACATTTTAATGGCAACTACCTTTTTACTTCATTTAATCTTACACATCACATGAGATACCGTATACATCTGGTATTACAGAAAATATCGTTCACTTAAGTCATACCAAATTTTCAAGATGCTTAAGGGACTATTTAAGATTAGTAATAGATTTGGAAGTAAATCCAGTTCAGAATTGCACCTCGTTTAGCAAAAAGCTCTTGCTAAACAGAGCAGATGGAAAGACGAGAACAACATTCTCCAATGTTCAAACTTCTAAAAAGAGTTGAGATACTATGTCACATAAATGATTTAAAAGTAATTACAGTATTTTCTTATTACTCTTAATATAGTTTGTCCATCACTGTTCCTTCTGCAGTTAAAATCTTTAAATTCAGTATCTGTCCTTTCAAAGCAAATTTAAAAAGAACAGGTTATAATGACAGGTATTATGAGACAATGAACTAAAATTAGGTAGTTGAAGGACTGCATTTTGAGGCATAAAATCTTTAGTTGGAGGCCATCTTTTGTCCAGTACTTACAAGAATGAGGGATGAGGAGGCTAAGGTGCTCAGGGGTAAACGTTTTGTTCGCACACCACTCTGTATTAATCTTCTCTAGATGTTTGCAACACCTTTTCCAGAACAGTGGATCATCATATATTAAAAACTAAGTATGTATGTTGTAACAGAGACACAGTATAAGGGCTTTAGGGTAATCATATAATTATAGTTGAAGTATGAACCTGAACCCTCAGTAACATGATGGACTGAAAAGATCTCAGATGGCATCTTGTAGAAAGTTGTGTGGCCTGTTTTGGTCCCATTAGATGGGGCCAGAATTATAGCACAAAGGAACTTCTAGGACACTGGTGTAGATGTTGTGCATTGTCCAGATACTAGATATTACAAGCTATGGAAGAAGGCATCGGACCACCTTGGAGCTCAGTAAGCTACTTATTCAGCCACAGGAGCTGAATCAAAATGCATAACAAACCAGAAGGTAACGGTAATTCTGTTTCTGTCGTTTTCTAATTGTATATAATGAGCATAACTTGTACATCCTTGTTGCAAATGTTGCGGATGCTGAACTGGAGGCAGACAAGCTTGTTCTTCCTGTGTGCCTATGTGTTTGAGAGTCTTAACAGCCTCTCTCCCTTCTTTTCTAGACTGCTGTTGATGTTTTCCGGAGGATAATTTTGGAAGCAGAGAAAATTGATGGGGCATCTTCACAAGGGAAGTCTTCATGCTCAGTGATGTGATTGCGCAGTGGAAGCTAAACCCTGGGAATGAGTTGTTCTGCCTAAAGAAGCAAACTGCCTGTTCCCCTCACAGTGAAACTACGCTTTTTCTTCTTCTGTTAACCTGAACAATATACAGTTGGAGACGTTTCCCTTCAGATTATGTTAAACTCTTGACTCCTGTGCAGAAAAAGGCTTCACTTCCATTTTCAAATTTTAAGCAATCATATTTTCAATTTATATATTGTATTTCTTAACATTATGACCAAGAATTTTACTGGCATTAATTTTTCAGTGTAGTTGGGTTAGAATAATCATCCAGATGATGCTTATTGTTACACTACTGTCATCTAGGCTTAAATATCAGTGTTTCTTTGTGTTAAATGTATACTTGTAAATAAAATAGCTGCAAACCTTTGTGCTTCCTCTGTTTAGCTGGGGTTCTTTAAGATTACAGCTCAAATCACATTGGCAACATTTTTCTTTAGTTTCCACGAAATTTAGCATGTCATTTCTCAATTGGTTGGGAATACACCTCAGTGAACAGTCTCCAGAGATAATTTGAGGAAGAAGTTGCAATATTTAAGAAGGCTTATTTTGCTTCTCAAAGTATGAACTAGTATCTTGCACTGTGGACAGCATATTACCTCCTCCACTTGTAGCTGTGTAAATTTTGATGCTTAACTGGTCAACAAAATACCATTTTCCATTTACTCTTCGGAATGAGTTTTTTCTTTCAATGTATCTTAATTCATATTCCTGACAGTACCATCCAGTTGGGGCCGACTCTCTTCTCTAAAACAGACTCTGACCTGCAAAGGGACATGGCCCAATGAACACTTTAACTTGTTAAGGTGCTGTGGCACTGTTTTTCACTTGGGAATTATAAACAAACATTGGAGAGCCATGAGTATTACAGGTGGGCGGTTACGGCAACAGCATTTGGGCATTGACACCAAAAGGCTGGAGGTGTTTAAACAAATGTATGGCTCGTAATCCTGAAAGAAAAAGTTGCTGGGAATGCAGACCGCAGACTTAAAAACAAACAAACAATAAATAGCACTACTGAAGGTAGAAGTGTTTTGACTGTTGCATTTTTTTTAGCATGTACCCGTTTAATAACTGAAGGAAAAGGGCTGTCTTCACATTTTCTGTTGTAAGGTATGCTGCTTTCATTGCTTTGTAGAGGCTGTTTTGGCAGTAATGTTAGATCACTTTGCTGCAACTCGCTCTGATGCAAAGTTCCAACTGTCTGCCTATTTGTTTTCATGCACTCACTGCCTTTGCTCCATAAGATTCAGAAAAATGTCTTTTTGTTCAGTAGTACTCTGATTTGATGTAATGGGGTCAAATCACTGTCTAACCGTGTTTAGTAACCCTGGGTCAAGCACAGTATTCTTGCTTGCCTCACAAAAATTCAATAGGATACTCTTAGGGGAAAGGTAGAATAATATATAAATGGTATTGTATCCTTACAGCTGTTTCCTTTTGAAAGGATATGTCACCTTTCAATCCAAATTTATTTTCAGGACAATATAGTAATATTTCAGATTGAATTGATTCAGATGTAACTTCCTCCCAAGTATACGATAGGAATTAATAATACAACAGGTGAAAGGACATGAAAAATGCAGTATCTAGGAATACATGCAACCTTAAAACAAACTAAAGTACAACAACATGCATGACTTAGCAGTAGTAAAATATAAAATTAGTGCACTGAAAATATTTCAGTCTAAATGGGCTCTATCAGCAGGTATAAAGTGGGACTAAATAAGTAAATAACAGCCATATTGGTAATATACAGCCATACCGTATTTTGTTTTTGTGGCAGGTTTTGGTGCCAGCGCCTCAAAGGTCATAAGCAGGTTGCCAAGGTCAACAAGCAGACTGAGAAACCAGGTACAAAAGCAAATCTAAACACCGAATTTCTTCAGTAAGATTGATGATCACCAAAGCTGCTACTTGTCCTGGTTTAGTGGGAGTTATAAACCGAATCATTTCTGTATTTGGTGTGAGCGGTAGTAAAACTGTTTCTGGTGGGTTAATGACATGGTTTCTGAGCTTGATGCCCTTGTTATAATGTGTATCTGGAACTGCAGGGCTGATATTGAAGCTTCTGTCAAAGAGGGATTTCTTTGCTAGAGTTTCCTTTAAATCTGTACGTACAATTGTGTGGTTTATGCAGTACTCAGATTCACCAACCAGCTGTGCTCCACACATACATGTTTTAGCAAGTGTGAGATCATCAAATGTAATGGGGCAGACTTTCAATTCCAGTTTCTCAAGTGCCACTACATGCCTGATTTCTACCTGTAACAAGCTTTTCCAAGAACTAAGCAGTAAAAGTCCTCCAGCACTTAGTAACGGTAAATTTCACCCTAGATCTGATTCTAGAACTGAAGGAGTTAGATAGTCTGCAAAGCAAAGGCAGACATAATACCCTCTGAAGCCAGTTACCTCCTATCGGCCCAATTTCCCATCTCTGAAGAAAAGATAATTATTAGTTCCTTCCCTAGGGGTAATGGGAAGATTTAATTAGCTCTGTCTAAAGTGCTTTGAACATATAAAGTGCTCCTGCTAATAAATTATGTGCCAGTACAAAAATAGAACTTACTGACGTGGTTTGATCTCATTCCATATTTTTGCTAGTTATATAGGAATTAACCCTCATAGTCAATTGGGAAGCTCTTGCCCAAAACTCAAATGTCAGGTGAAATGCTTTAAAATAAAGGGCTAAAGAATTTGAAATTTTAAAAAATCAAGGATGCAAAAGAGAAAATAATTCCAGTGAGGCCGGGATCAGCTATAACCTGTCTCCACTGTTTGCATGTCTTTCAGCTTGCATTGGGCTAGTTAATCCCCTGTGTATATCCTATGTTACACAAGAGGTAATACAAAACTGTTTAACATCCTACTGTTCCACTTTTAAAAAGGCACTTGAAGATGCTAGCAACATCACTAAAAACACACTGAGCCATAAAACCGTTAATTATAGAATCATGGAGTTGGAAGGTGCCTCTAAGGCCATCCAGTCCAACCCCTTGCTCAAGGCAGGAATCCAAGTCAAAGCAGATCTGACAGAGGGTTGTCCAATTTTCTCTCGAATGCCTCCAGTGTTAGAGCACCCACCATCTCCCAAGCTCATGGGTTCCACTGTCTTACTGCTCTAACAGTTAAGTTTTTCCTGATACTCAGCTGAAATCTGGCTTCTTGTACAGTGGGGTCTCTACTTAAGAACGTCCCTACTTAAGAACAATCCAACTTAAGAACAGCTCCATTTGCTAAATTTTGCTTCTACTTGAGAACAGAAATCCAAGATAAGAACAAGAAAAAAAAACCTTTCCTGCTCTTTTTTTAACCTTAGGTCATCTTAGGTTAAAAAAAATTGGTTAATGGTAGAATCATGGAGTTGGAAGGGGCCTCTAAGGCCATCCAGTCCAACCCCCTGCTCAAGGCAAGAATCCAAGTCAAAGCAGATCTGGCAGAGGGTTGTCCAATTTTCTCTCGAATGCCTCCAGTGTTAGAGCACCCACCATTTCCCAAGGTCATAGGTTCCGTTGTCTTACTGCTCTAACATTTAAGTTTTTCCTGATACTCAGCTGAAATCTGGCTTCTTGTAATTAGAGCCCGTTATTTACATGTCCCGCACTCTGGGATGATCGAGAAGAAATCCTGGCCCTCCTATGGATGACAATCTTTCAAGTATTTGAAAATCACTATAATATCTCACCACCACCACCCTCTTCTATTGTCAATGTTTCCTCATAGGGCTTGGTTTCCCTGCTCATCCTTGTTGCCCTCCTCTGAACTTGCTCCAGCTCGTCTGCACCCTTCTTAGAGTACGCTGTCCAGAACTGGACACAGTCCTCTAGATGAGGCCTCACCAGTGCCAAATAAAAGAGAAGTAGTACTTCATGGGGTTTGGAAACTACTGTATACATTTATTAACACATCCTAAAATTGCATTTGCCTTTTTTGCAGCCATGTCGCATTGTTGGCTTATATTCAGCTTTTGATCGACAACAATCCCAAGACCCTTAGGATCATAGGTGAAACAAATTAATAAAATCATTAATACCCACACTAAAAACAAAGCAAGCAATAAAACCATTAAAATCAATTAATAAAGAGCCATTCTGTCCTTTAATTGACAATGTATTTTTGTTTTCTATGGGAAAGCCTTAATCCAGGGGTTTTCTAGTGGAGGAATGTTTTGGAAGGCTTCCAAGGGACAACAGAAGAAGTGGGTTTCCTAACCAAGGGTAACATCACATGTTTATTACTTGTTGGCTGTAGTTATGGCCCAATTTAAACATTGTGTTAAACCACTATTTACCATGCACACATATTGCAAGTGCCTAGCAAGATGTTGAGATAAAAATAATAAAAAGGAAAAACTCACACGTAGTAGGTAATTCAGTGGTTGTATGAGCCAGCCTTTTTTCCTACAGAATTGATAGTATCATTCAGCTGTGCGTCCTTAGAACTTCCATCATTCCATTGATTGTACTATTGTTTGTGGGAGTTGTAGTCCCGTCAGATCTGGGTGGTTCCCAGATTACAGTCAGTCCCTTAGATATGAAGCTAAGAGCAATTATGGCTGCAATCCTTTCCTCCCTTACCTAGGAGTAAGCACCCCTGAATGCTTCTGAGACTGCCTAGTAAAATGCATTGGATTCTACTTTAAATGCCACACTAGCTAAAACAGCAGCCTTGTAATTTCAGAAATGATAACCTCAAATTCTTTATTGACTAAAGTTGTTTGTTGCTTTTCTGCCCATTAAAAAAACTAATCTAAAATAATTTAAAAGCTAGTTTTAAAGGCCGGAAACAATACGCAATGATATTGTCCTTAGCTGCTTCTTAGAAGCGCGTCAAGAATGGATCCATCTTCATTCCCTTCAACAGGGAGTTCCATAACTGAAGTCCTGGTACAAACAAACAAATGGAAACTTATCTCACCTACTTGCCATCCTAGCCTTTTGAGGTGGCAGGAGATGCTACAAAGTCCCGTCTTTCCCCCTTCCGATATGATAATGGGATTTGAAATATAGCAGGGTGGGCAACAATGGTTCAGTTTTCTTGACTACAGGTCCTATTATCACTCACGTTTAGCTGGGAATTGCAGTCTAGGAACATTTAGAAGATCACATTTACCCATCCCTTGGGCCATCAATGGCTGCTAGTCACCATGATGGCATTGTTACCTCTTATATCGGAGGCAGTCTGGCACTCCAATTGGAGCATACACACAAGTGTGTGATTCATTTCCATCCTGCCTGTGAGCTCCTCGGACACAGCTAATTGGCCATCGTTGGCACTGAAGGTTGGACTAGAGGGTTTTGGGTCTGATCCAGCTAGTCTGCTGTCATTTTCAGGACCAAGGCACAGCACTTGCTTTGACATAGCAGTCCCGTTGTTCATATACAACACAGCAGTGGTTTGTAGAACAAAGGATCTAGAAAAGTGTTTCACTGGATCATACCCAAAACCCTCTAGTCCAGTGTTTCACTTTTCTAGATTCTTTGTGCTGCAACCATTTGAATCTCACAAAGTCTGAATCTAAGCATAAAGATGGGGTTTCCAAACTTCTGTAACCGAATAACTGGGGGTGGGCTCCATCTCATAGCCCAGTTGTGCCTGGAAGGTATTCATGTTGGGCCAGCTGAGAGCACTAGAACGGGTACCGGTGCATGAATGTTGTCATGTTTGCATTCAGCACCATTCATGCATTGCTGTTTGTGCAAGCTGTGCATAATGCTCTGGATTTGTGACAGCCAATCTTAGGTGGCCTTGGAGGCTTTAAGCCTCAAATGAAGAGCTGCTCCAGACAGCTTCAGATGACGGAGATAAGATAGAACTGTTCTTCGGGGTTGAGGGGCTGAAGACCACTTCAGAGTGGTCACACAACTGATTTTTGACATGCATAAGTCCAGATCTGATCCAAATTCTCAGATAGCAGAGCTAGGAAGATTTTCTTGGTGTGCCTCCAGTCAAAGGACACAGTACTGGGCAAGATAAATCGATGGCCTAATTCAGAGTAAGAGCAAGCTTGCATGTTCAGAGTTTCTAAGGCATTGTCTGAGGACACTCAAAGCAGATTCCAAATACGAGAGCCTTAGATGGAAACACCCTGTAATGGGTGAGAAAGACCAAGCCACCTTTTCCTATTAGTTCCTTGTTACCTCTTCTAAATAAAGCTGCTCTCAATGTACAGCACTCATAGCTTAAATCCCCCATCAAGTGATTCTTTTGTTAACTTGTCTGGATTAAATTAAAACTCCCGTATCAGCAGTGAGCGAGGCATGCCGTTCTTGCCAGCTAAGCATGAATCATGGCTGGTGTGCATTGTTTTGGCAGGCCCCAGCCTCAATTCCCCCCATTGCGGATATATAGTACCATTTCCAGCAATACACTGAAAACGCCATTTGGGAATTCAACTCAGCATTGGCATCAGAGAGCACTACCAAATAACATGTCTCAGTATTCAGGAAAAGTAAGTGATTCTTTCTCTCTTTTAAAATGGTTTTGCTTACAGTTTAGATCAGTTATTTATTCGGCCAAGGGAAAATTTGTGAGTTGGAAAATGAAACCTAAGGATGCCAGCAGCAGAGGGGTTGACAGAGCAATCGTTTAGAAACTCTTGTGGGGATTGTGTTGTCTTGCAGGCTGACGTCATGCGGGCTGGGGTGGTCTGAAAGAAAAGGGACAGAGTCTTGAAATAGAAGGATCTGGCAACTTAAGGGGTAAGGGAGACTGGGAAATTCAGTGGCGGGTATCCCAATTCAACTAAACGTACTATGCAAGACAGGGATATTTAGAAAAGCCCAAGGGGGAATTTGCATTGTTATGAACCACACACATGGTTGTGAACGAGCTGGACTGTAATTTCTCATTGAAGAGGCTCTAGCTTTTCCTTTTGCTCTGTCATTGGATGCAAAATTAAATCCCTCTGGCAGTGGATCCCTCTTTTGCTTGGAATGCAAATGGGCACTGGAACTGAGTGTGTGTGTGTGTGTAACTCCGGACACAAGGATGCCACCACTCAGCAGGTGCAACCATCTTCCTTCCAGATTGTTTTCTACGAGGGCAAATGCTTCACGGGCCGGAAGCTGGAGGTCTCTGGGCCCTGTGAGAACTTCCAGGAACGGGGCTTCACGAACAGAGTCCATTCTGTCTGCGTCCGAACCGGAGCTTGGCTCTGCTTCAGTCATGCCGATTTCCGAGGTCAACAGTATGTCCTGGAGCATGGCGAGTACCCGGGATTTTATAGTTGGAATGCGCATAACGACCGGATGGGATCCTGCAAGCCAGTGGGAATGGTTAGTGCTCCTTTTTCACAGGCAGGCATTCAAACAGCCTCGTACTGTATACGCTCCCATTTTATGGGAGTGCCTTTCTCAGCATTGTGAAGTGTGTACACACACACTCTGGTTTCTTCTAGATTCAGGTCTTGAATCACAGATGAACAACTCCAGTGCCATTGGTGTGTGTGTGTGTGTGTGTAAAAATCAGAGTTGGAAGGGAACTATCTTGTGTGCCACACATAAATGCACAGGCACAACATTCCAGGGTATAGCTTTCCTTCCTTCTGTCTATGGGACAACCACTTTTCCTGACAGTAAATATATTTATATATATTTTAACCAAAACAACTGTACCATAAGTGCAAGCAGTTCTGCCCTAAGACTCTATGCATGCCCGTGTGTGTGTGTGTGCATGTGTGTGCATCCCCATTTTGAGTGTATCTAAGGCTGCAGTCTGAGCTTGATAACACTCTACTGTTTGCAGAGAGGGTATAGGAAAGTAGATGAGTCCCGCAGGCGCTGATGGCCAATGGATGAGGGCGTGGCCCTCGGGTTGTGATGTGGAACTACATATCCCTTTGGTTTTGGGTTCTGACGGACGCTTCGCACCTGTGAGATGTGTTGTAATCCTGTTTAAATGATAACAGTCATTTCCGATTTTGCATCTCCACCTATGAATTAGCCTACATCGTTTTATGCAGATCCTAAATCTGCCCTCTTCGGCTTTCTTCTGTGGTGATGTGTAAAAGCCGCTCTAGGCCGCCATCTTTGCCTATCCCGCCCCATCTATCCTGAGGAAGCTGGAGAGTCAGGTTACTGTCTCATTGTGCAGGATTGAGTGGCGGTTCAACGGCCAGTCCAGTCATCCTCTACACAAGGAATGGAAGAAGGCACTGTCTTTGCCCTTTACCCCAGGCAGCAAAATGTCTTGGGCTGGCCATGGTGGTACCACCCCCTCCATGTACCTTCAACTCTTCTTTGACTGCCCCCAGCCTAAATTGCATAGGCCCCCAAAACTCCCCATCTATCTCCCCACCACCACTACCTCCCTGTAAGTGTATGGCAGAAAGGGGAAAACTTTTCCTCTTTGATTTTTTTTTATCTACCGGCTGCCATTTCAAGCTTCTGCAAACTTAAAGTATTTTGCAAGATTTCTGCTAGCCCAGCTGACTGTTCTCATGTATATTCTGAAAAATATATCAGAGAACATGCCACTGTTTGGGTTTTTTAAATAAGGAAAACAATACCTTTCTGTGAATCCCATATAGGACAGAAGAAGGGCAGAGGAGTGGGATTCATGCAGGACATTGACCTCAGTTCACCCTCAAAAGCTTTCACAGCCAGACTGTGGAATGAGAGAGGCGCGAGAAGGGTTTATTTTCTTCTTTCTCCTCTATTTAATAAAGACACGGCATTTATTTTGTATAAATAACCACAGTCTTGCCTGGAAACTAAAGGGAAAGTTTTGATTTTTGGTTGTAAGGCAAATAGTCTCAAAATCTGTGTGTTTTGGAATGTCTTTCTATTATTTCTGCCCCTTAACGGGTGTTTCATTTCATTCCCCTTGTATGCATGTCTGGATCATTTGCAGATGTCAAGTGTGGCACCGTGGTCTTGCCTTTTTATAGTTTGTTTGTGGCCCTTCTGTGTTTTCTCTTCCTTTTGAGTATAGACTTTCTGCTTAAGAAGTCGGAAGGTCTACGCTGTCTGGCATTCTCAGTGTATGGCAAGAACTCATCGCTGAGGCTTGTAAAGCTGGCAGCTGGGTGATAAATACAGATGGGCGTGCCAGTTTTTTTTTTCTCGGCTGAACAAATGTTTGGCACTTCCCAGCCCCATCTTCTTTGGTCAATGGCCACTCGAGACGGCGCCCAGAGGAGGCAGGACAAGGAAGTGTGGTGTTGCCTCTGACTGGACACCCACGGGAGGAGGTGGGGCTGGGAAGCACCAGCCACCTATTTGGCCACCCAATGAACCAGTGGCTTGTGCCCAACTCTAGCGCTAAACTACTCTCGAAAAAGAACAAGGGTTCAGGAATGTGCCATGTTAACCTCCCCTAATCTGGTGCCACCCAGATGTGTTAGAAAAGAGCACACATCATCCCCAGCCTTATACATACAGGTATATAGCCCATCTGCCAATAAATATAAAGAAACTATTGAAAAACTCTTAACATAAAAAAGCAAAATAAAATGCAAGGCTCTTGGATTCAGTGATGTTTTTAAAGATGTATTCAACCCAATACAAGATGATGACAGAAGTTTTAGTGAATCTTTTCAATCAAGTTTACAGAACTGGAATCTTCCTAAAATTTTGTTGAGAATGACTTTTATTAAATTACTCAAAAGAATTCCGGGATAGCTCAGTGGTTTAAGCGTCTGGCTGTAGAGCCAGAAGTTGGGAATGCAATTCCCCACTGTGTCTCCTTGATAGGAACTGGTCTCAATGATCCATAGGGTCTCTTCCAGCTCTGCAATTCTAAGGTGTTTTTTTTATTATCATAATAATTATAATTATTATAATTATTATAATTGTTGTTGTTGTTGTTAAAAAGAAATGGAGCCGTTTGTAGAGACTACAGAGCAATACACTTAATGAGCCATTTCTTAAGGGTTTTTTTAAAACTATATGACATAATAATACTAAGAAGGGCCAAGAGAGAGATGATTTGGATTCAAAGGTGGATTCAGAACCAGAGAAGTACATGCAGGCCTGGACATGAACATGGATACGTTGGTAGCTTTATTGACTATGAAAAACCATTTGATAAAATCAAGCAGGGTGAGGTGTTGGAATTGTTGGTAAACAAAGGTCTTGATTGTGTAATTAGCAATCTGTACTGGCAACAAAGAGCTTAAGTGAAAGATAAAGATCAGATGTAGGAGGGTGTAGAGATATCATAGGCATGTATCCTGCTGGTGCACCTCTGAAGTTTGTGCTCCCAAAACATACGTAGAGAAGCAGGTGTTGGGGAACTCTAGTGCACCCCTGTAAACCATAACACCAAACTACAAATCCCAAAATTCCACAGGATGGAAGTACAGCTGTTAGAGCAGTAGAGGTATCAAAGTAGAGGTATCAGTGTCGTTGCCGAAGCAAATATTAACAGGGATGAGGACTTGAGCAGTAGAGGTATCAAAGTAGAGGTATCAGTGTAGTTGCCAAAGCAAATATTAACAGGGATGAGGACTTGAGTCGCAAGACTCGCTGTCAAGTTGGACTTAAATCACTCTTATGACTTAACTTGGACTCATTCTCCCCCTCCCCAATGATTTGGATTCAATGTGAAACTTGAATGTCCACCCACCCCTCTCTTTTTTTCTGGCTGGGGGGTATCAAAGTAGAGGTATCAGTGTAGTTGCCAAAGCAAATATTAACAGGGATGAGGACTTGAGTCGCAAGACTCGCTGTCAAGTTGGACTTAAATCACTCTTATGACTTAACTTGGACTCATTCTCCCCCTCCCCAATGATTTGGATTCAATGTGAAACTTGAATGTCCACCCACCCCTCTCTTTTTTTCTGGCTGGGGGAGTTTATTTTGAGTAGGGACTTGACTTGGGGCTTTGGGACTCAGGACTTGGTAGCCAAGACTCTGACCTGGCACTCAGACCCGAAGACTTGCCAACATCCTTGAATATTTAAGACCATTGAGGCAATGGGTGATGTCTTTGTTTCTGTGGATTGAGCAGGCCATAAACAACGCTTCCACATTTTGCACGCAGCCTGCTTTTCCTTCCATTTGCAAAAGCGATGTATGTTGTTGTTCTCCTCCTCACACCATGTCTGGTTTCTCTCCTTGTCCACAGCATGGAGAACATTATCGAATAGAAATCTTTGAAGGGAGACACTTTTCTGGCCTCAGTCAGGAATTCACTGAAGATTGCTCTTTCTTGAGTAGACAAGGCTGGGACAAGAAATGGATCAATGCCATTAAAGTCTATGGCGATGGAGCGTAAGTAACTGATTTGCCTGGATGTCGTACATGCTTGGAAAACGAGCTTGCTTTTAATGTGCTACCAGCTGGTGTGGCCTCCGAGAAAACAGTTTCAGGAGAAGAGGAAGCAGAATGCCGATCGGTCCCAGCCAATCAGCAGCAAGGTCTGTTTTTGCCATCAGGCCCAGCCTGCTGAAATCTGATTATGTTTAAAACGAAGGCAGTGTGTGCCAATTCTTAGGCTATCCTTGGGTTTTCAAAAGTTAATAGTGACCAGGTTGGTCATGAACTTGTCTCTGTGGTGCTGCTGCGTACAATGTTTAGATGCTTAAAACATTCGTGATCAGCTTGCACCTGCTTGTCTTAATTCCTACATTAATCCTCTTGCTGTTGCCTCCTTCATGCTTTTTAGCTTTTTTTAAAAAGTGTGTCTTATTTATCTGGAGTCTAAGCCCTTCCTTTTCCTGCACTTTGTTAGCGGATTTCCAAACAGGCCCCTTTTGAAAGAGACCCAAACTCATGCTTTTGTTCCCATTCAAGTCCCCCAATCCTTGCATCTCCCAGGAACGACAGATACATGTTGATGTTCTTCTTATAATGCAGATGATAGAAGAATCATAGTATAGTCATCCATTTGGGAAGCTCTGTTATTAATATTGCTCACCTGAAGCAAAAAATAAATAAATAAATCAGCATGTAGTATGTCAGGATCTGTGTGTAATTTTTTTTAAAAAAAATTAGCATTATTATCATTATGAGGATGAATGCTGAGTATATTTTTCTGGGAGTAATTGCTCTCTGTCTCTCTTTCCATTCTTCCTTTTGTGATCCTTTGCTATCAAAACGTTGAATCAAAACAGACCAAAGCCTGTTTCCCAGCCATCGCTCACCCATCCCTGAGATGTTCTGCTGAAAACTGAGAGTCAGACAAAGGCCCACCAGAAATGAATGCTCTCTTGGGGTGATTGTGAGGGGGGGGGCAAAATCATGGTTGGTGCCTCACTCTTTTTCAAGTGAGGATGTTGCTGTGTGGCGAAGCCATTGCCTCATTTTCCTGGTGCTTTGTATCATGTGCTCCTCTTGGACAAACAAACAAAACATCTGAAAGCTTCTCTCTCTCTCTCTCTCTCTCTCTCTCTCTCTCTCTCTCTCTCTCTCTCTCTCTCTCTCTCTCTCTCTCTCTCTCTCTCTCTCTGTGTGTGTGTGTGTGTGTGAGAGAGAGAGAGAGAGAGAGTGCCTGAGAGAGACAGTGGGGAGTGGCGGGTGGAAGGAGGGGAGGCGAGGCTGAAGGAGCGTGTCTGATGGAGCCAGGGAGTGCTTGGCTTGTAGAAGGCACAGCTGGAGTTCTGGTTTACACATCAGGCTCCTGTGCCAAGAAAACCTCTCTAAGGAGGGGGGGAAAGGCAAAGCTTGTAGGCAGCGCTCTGGCTGGAAGGTCAAGCCCGCCTGCCAAATACCTGCCATCACAGAGCTGGAAAAATTCCCAAAGGTCATTAAATGCAGCCTCTTGCCAAAAGCAGGAAATCGACAGCTAAAGCATCCCTAGCAGAGAAGGCTTCTTTCAAAGCCTCCCGGAAAGGATCATCCACCACCTTCCTCTCATCCATTCCATTGCTAGTTCTGACTGTCGGGGTTCTTTCTCAGGTGTAGTCAACACCTCTGTTCTTGTCTGTGGTTGAGGAGGAAACCTTTCTTATGATCAGTTACATCTGCAAAGGGGACTGTGTGGCCCTCGGGGGGGGGCCTTGGCCAATTGGAAGGGAGCCACAGACTGGAAACAGTTCTTCACACACCGCCTTATAAGGTTTTTTATGCGAATTATACAGTCCTGATTTGTTCCCATATTAGTTTCATGTTGTGTTTACGGTCGTGGCCAAAATAAAGCTGAAAATTGCTGATTTAAATGAAGCCTTCCAACACACCTTGAGCTAAATATGGAGGGTTTCGGGTGTGTGTGTGTCTTTGCTCACACGTTAGAGTACCTGTTTTGCCTGTTGAATGTCTTGATACATTCACGTCTTGGTGTCCTCAGTGTATGATTGTGACTGGAGAACCAAATTTTCCAAGCCTAGATTGGGCTAAACAGGGCCACTTTGAAGGGCAGAGTGTCATTTGGGGCAGTTTTTGCATCCAAACACACGGATTGAGCATACCACACCTCAGCCAATCTTATTTGGCCCTGTCAAAAAGAAAAGAGAAAAAAGAAAACAACCACCAAAATGCTCATTGAACAACTGAACGAAAGATGTTGTTGGTTTGCAAAATCTGAGCGGAGCTATAAGTGATAGGACATTTTCGAGGTCATTAACTCTTATTGTCTTCTCCCATCAGAAATGATTTGAGAGGACATCATGTATTTTGGGGAAAAATCAGGATAGGGCCGTATGGTCCTCAAAACAATACAAATACAGGGACAGGTGATATTCCAAATGTGTTTGGAGTTTTTTTTTCTTAATTACCAGACAATTGTATAGTGATAAGATGGGTGGAATGCTTGAAATAGGATGGGATATAGACAGCAAAGCTCTGCTAATATTGGGTAAGACCATCCCCGGCCACAAAGCAAAAAATAAAGACACACACACACACAAAAACAACAACAGTAATTTCAGATCTTAAATAAGTGAGCTTCTGAATAATTTTTCTCTATTCTATTTTTAATGTTGTTTTAAATATTTTTACAAACATGGACAGAATCCCTTTGCCAGCATGAGCACCAGTCTGGCCAGGAAGGAATTAAAAATTTCTCCTCCTGAGAGCCAGCGAATTGGGTCCTGACGGGCAGGGCCAAAAGTTCAAATTGTCCCAGACCTGGAGCGGATTTTCCCTTTGAAGACCTGGTGTCGTCATGAGCCTGGTTTCAGAAATGCTTACTGAAAGCATGTGGACAAAAACTATCACTCTGTATTTTTATAATGCAGAAATACTTTGAATAGGCCTTTTAAAATCGTATGCTAATTTACTAGAGATACATAGCAAAATATTTGTTTTTGGATGCCTGGTTTTTTTTTACTCTTCCCAGAAAATCCGTCTTTTGAATGTTTCTCTAATCTTTCATTGCCCTCCAAACATCTCCCTTCCTGGGCCATAAAAGGAGTTCTACGCATGCTCAGTTTATAAGAAAGTCTCTGTTTGACCCTTTTAAAGGTCTTTTTAAAAAAATCAATGCTTCAATACCTGTAGCCTGGATTCCTTCAATTTTTTTTTTTTAAAAAAAGCTGGTGGGTTAGTCATTGTCTTTCAAGATAAGCAAGATTAGTCTTTCAAAATCATTTGAATTAGGGAATGTTTCAATCAGAATGTTTAAGGTTGCTTGTTTTCTGCACAGGAGGAAAACAATTTTACATTTAAAGAGCCACAACTCAAAAATTCCTTGCCCAAACATCCCTAAATTTTGCATAGAGTAACAGTAGACTGTCTGCTATATATGTGCCAGATTTGGTGCTGAACCAAAGTCCAATTTCAAAATTATATATATATATATAATTTTGGCTGCCCCCATTTTTAGAATTGCCTTGTAAAATGTTGATTTGCTCTACCAGCACAACATCACCATACTGTCATACAGTGATACTGAAAATATCTATATTTTAATTGCATTTTAATTATTTTGCCCTTTTATTTTGCCTTTTTATTGTATTTTAAATGCTGTAAGCCGCCCAGAGACCTTTGGGTAGTGTGGGCGGCATATAANNNTAATTAATTAATTAATTAAAAGCAGAAGTACACACAAATTCAGGTAAAGGAAAAACATGTTGTGACCATTATTGTCTGAATCGTATCTACTTTCCACAACAGAGAACACATGATGATCAACTGTTTTTGCTGTGTCCACTTTTCGCCTGCCGTCTCTCAAATTTATATGTAGTTCATTTATCCATCTGTGCTCTTTTTTAAATCCTAAGAAGGGGAGCAGGGGGCCTCTCTCTCTCCCTCTAGAGCATTTTATCCGTTGCATCAAAAGATGCATGCATAATTCAACTTCTCAGGGAGACAGAGACTCTTGTACCCAGTTGTGAATATTTGGTGAAGAAGTTTGATAAAAAGCTGCTTCCTCCCTTTCTTTTTTCCAGGTGGGTGTTGTATGAGGAACCCAACTATCGTGGTCAGATGTACTTGGTTGAGAGGGGGGACTACAGCAGCTGTAATGAATGGCAAGCGGCCAGTGCAAACATCCAGTCCCTCAGAAGAGTCATCAACCATTTTTAACCAAGCGCCTGGTGAAAATAAGGGTCTCGAGCTGTCCTATCTGGTCTGTCGAAAGGTGAAATAAAGATTTTAATCTCTCTCTGTTTGTGTTGCTTCTCTCCTGCTGGAATGGTCATGGCTGACTAGATCAGACCAGAACAAAGTCCAACGGGACCAGTTCTTGGGGAAGTTCTAATCCTTTATCAAGCAAGTGGCGATGCTGGTTGGCTCTAGGAACCAGAGTGTAAGGAGGAAGAGGACGAAATTATTTTGCAAACATGTCACTTCACCTGGAAGCTTTTCAACATCGCCATCATCTTTCCAAGCTCTAGATGGAAGACTACATACAGTATGTATCTGTCATACACTGGCCACAAGATAAGGAGTCTGAGAAGAGATAGGCTAGCTCTTGTCAAATACAGTGGTGCCCCACTAGAAGATTACCCCGCAAAACTACGAATCCGCATGACAACAAATTTTTGCGATCACCATTGTGCTTCGCAAAACAGTGTTTCCTATGGGCGATTTTCGCTGGACGATGTTTCGGTCTGATTTTTGGGGGGGGGGCGATGCTTCACAAGATGATGATTTAACCAGATGATCAGCAGCTTCACAAAATGGCTTCCCTATGGGCGATCTTCGCACAACGACGACTATTTTCCCCATTGGAATGCATTAAACGGATTTCAATGCATTCCAACGGGGAAACGCTTTTCGCAAGACAATGTTTTCGCTAAACAATTATTTCAATGGAACGGATTAACATCGTCTTGCTGGGCACCACTGTACTTGACCACTCCGTAGTCATACGGAGGAGGGGAAGAATCTGTTCTCAATCATCCCAGAGTGCAGGACACATAATAATGGGCTCAAGCTATAGGAATCCAGATTTAGGCTGAATATCAGGAAAAACTTTCTAACTGTTAGAGCAATACAACAATGGAACAATGACCTCAAGGGGAAGTGACAAACGCTCCAACACTGGAGGCATTCAAGAAGATGCCTTCTCAAATAAAAGAGAGAGGAAGGGAAAGATTGAATAAGCAAGCACATATTTTTGTGGAATTTAAAACATATTCAATTATTTCCTCCCCCCTCCAACAATCATTAGTTAGCTAGTGAAGGTGAGGACTGACAAAGTGGTTCAAAGGTTGAGACTCAGCTCCTCCCCAATTATGGAAGAGCATAGAAATATTGCATCATTTTACGTTTATGCTAACACCCGGTCTTATACTAAATGTAGAACTTGTGTCATTGAACTGTTGGGATTTTTTCAAAGTAGTAAGAACAGTGATGTCATTTTCCACCTCCCTTAGTTTTCCCTCTTCCTTTTGAGGAACAGTGTACGATAGTTGGGAAGAAAAATATTTCTCCAGCGCCAGCAATTTGAGCTATAATGTGAAATATTTCTTGGTTTGAGTTTGGATGACCAATCAAGACCTGTAAGTTTTACAAAAGATCTACTCCTTCTGGACACAACCATGGTTAGAACTGGTTGGTTGATATGGATCAACCCAACCATTTTCATTTCTGGATACTTCTTGAGAGTGTCCTGAAAGAGACTTACATGATGGAGAACTGTAGTTCAAAGTTATAAATGCATAGTCTCACAGATGTAACATTTTAAGAGTGGTGTGGATGATTTGTTAATGCTGCCACTGTGTACCAAATATGCACCGTTTTTTGTCTTCTGTTCTGGGGTAGGGTCAGCAAATTCAAAGAAAACATTTTGCAGGGCTTTATTACAGTACGTCTTAATTTGAACTGGGGAAAAGCCGGTGACACCAAGGGTCTACAGGCTAGCCTCTGTGCCGTCAGGAACACCAGCTTTTACCCCAAACCTGAAAGTTGTGCCAATTTTCTTAAAGTGCTTGTAATGTTTGCGAGTAAGAGGAAAAATAAATTGCTATACTTTACTTTTAAGTGAATATATGCTTACTGAGACATTCTGCGAGCAGTAGTCCCATCGTTTTAAGGGAAGATATGATAGCTAGGGGATTCTGGGAGTTAGAGCTAAAAAAGAAAAATTATTTCCCAGCTGTGCCATGGAAAGAGACTCTGGAGAAAGATGAGAAACAAGAAATAGGCTTGCTGGTCTTCCTTCTGAAGATGTAGTCCCCAAATGTAATGTTTGCAAGCTCTGGTGAATGCTTACAAGAGTTCCTACTCGGCCACACATGGAGGTCTTCCCTTGCGTAAAATCTGCTGAGCAAGCGGCTTTCAACCTGACGCTTTGGAAGGATCTTCTTATCTGGCTTGACAGATCTAAGAGGAAGCTAGGCTTCTCACCCCTGATGAACTCATCTTCAAGACACTGCTGCCCTGCTCTGTTCGCCCAAAGTCTGTCTCAAATCAAGAAGAACATGCAGAGGTCCCCGCCACAGCCTAAGCTGATATTAATTAAGGCAGCTTTCAGGATGGAGCTCACAAAGGGAAAACCTGGCAGGAGGAGAACAGAAGGCCAAATGTGAAATGCAGGGAGCTCACGTTCTTTGTGAGTCCAAGGAATTCTGGGCTGTTCAAACACCAGCCAAGAAAGTTCAAGGAAAGCTGGGATCATAAATAGCACCTTTGTGTTTAAAAATATTAAAAAGAGACAGGGTCCTTCTCTTTTATCTTCACAGCAGCCTTTTGAAGTGGTTTAGTCCGACAGTCAGCAACTGGCCCAAAATCACGCCCTGTTCAGCTGCTGGTTAATGTCTCCAGTATGCTATGCGCCACATCAGACAGGTTGCATAGGCTGCATACCTGGGGGCCAATGGAAGGACGAATGCCCAAGCTGGATGGGAATTTGAATCTCAGGATCTTGAAATCCCGTGCTGTGTGCCATGTGTTGCTCTGGCTCTCTGTTTTTGCTCCACACCCTTCAGCATCAGGACTCTGGGTACGACTGGACCCTGAGTGCCCAGATGTTCTTAGACTACAACTCCCCAAAGCCTTCACCATGAGCTGTGCTGGCCAGGATTTCTGGGAGCTGCAGTCCAAGAACATCTGGTCGGGAACCACTGAATTAGACGATGCACTTAGCATGTAATTAGTGGAGGAGCTCTGCACTGTATATCTTTTGACAATAGGATTCCTCAGAGATATGACCCTTTGCAATTGCAAACAATAACCCTGTGTTTACCTTCCATTGACCAATCAGAAATTGAAGCACAGTTGAATACAAGATACGGAGGTAAGAAAAACACATGCTAAGATATCCATCCAAACATTTTTCATCACTTAATGGGTTATAATATTGCTTATAATTATGTGATAAGTATACTATTTAGTTTGACCTATAATTACTCTGAAGGGACAAAAATTCATGTGGGATTCCTCAGAATTTTCTAGTTATTCCTGTACTTACTGTTCTGGACATGTTGTTCTATTGTTGTTGGTTGTTTCTGAATGACATTGATGATGATGCACAATCAACTTAAGTGAACTCAATGGGCTTGGAATGCTCCCAGGACATATAATAATATTATGCTCATGTGTTACCAAGTCAATTTTAACTTATGGCAACCCTTTTCAGGATTTTCTAGGTAGAGTGTACTCAGACGTGCTTGACCTTTCCCTTCTTCTGGAGGGGCCCGGGGATTGTGCAGCTTGCCCAAGGCTATGAAGGCTGGCTCTTCCAGGATGCACACTAGGGAACTGATCCCTTAAGCACTGGCTCTACAGCCAGATACCTATCTCATTGAGCTATCCAGCCAGCTAGATATACAAAAAGAAGCCAAGGGCATACCACAAGTTGAATCAGACCCTCAAGGTAGTGAGCCAGGGAAAAAACGAGTGTCGCATCCCTTCAGTCCTCTCCCGCCTTCTGTGTCTAAGCAATCAGAATGCAAATGAAGCTGCTGTTCAACTCCAGGAGACCAATCGATCGCAAAACAAAGAAAGGAGATCTGCAAGCTGTTGTGATCTCGGGAGACCTCAACAGCTTTGAGCACTTATGGAACTGCTGCTTCTTATATTGGGTTGTCTGTAACTGTCTAGGTGGGCCCCGCAGTCTGTCCTCTCCTGAGTAGTCCCACTGGTGGAGCTGGCCAGCCTTGCGTGGACTAAAGAAATGAGTTCTCATACGATATCAGAAGGGCCCTGTGTCCTCATTTAGGAAGGCAATTTCTCTTTCATAAATGACAAGGCAGCAGGGAGGAGGTGGAAGAAGAAGAAGAGGGAAGTGACTCAACTCATGAGTGGGTTGCATGCAGCAGAGACGATTCAGGCATCAGTGCCCTCTGCGTTCCTTTCTCTCTGTGATAACATCCCTTTTATTGCTTCAAAACAGCGTTCTCTACAAATCCTCCCTAGGGATAATGTTGCTCTTGTTTCCCAGCACTCTTCTGCTTTCTCTCGATCAATCTGCCATTAAATATTACTGTTCAGAACGGCACATTCTGGCTCAGCCATGACCTTTTGCCTTGCTAATTTGTTGGCCAATCACAGTTTGGGTTTCTATAGACATGATTTCCACAGAAATTTCCAACCTCTCCTAAAATAAAAGAAGACAGTTGTTTTTGGGGAATCAGAGCGATGAACATGGGAGGGGGGGATTATTTGAAACTGGAATAGATTGCGTCTGTGCTGTTGAAACCAAATTATTATTCTAACCTGGGGGGGAGGGAAGAGGGTGTTTAATGCAATGTGTGATGCTTGCATAGTCATGAACCCTCTTTATAGCCGCTTCCTTGCTTATCCTGGATTGGTGGTGAAAGCTTTGGAACGTCACTGAAACTATATCCCTCCCAAATGTCTGCTCAGATCTGGTTGTGTCTGCAGAGAGTTCAAAACATCCACAAGGCTAGGCACATAGAACATGTGCCAGCCTTGCAAAGCAGCTGCCACCACATCCCACACATACAGTGAAACTTTCTAGTAGCTGGTTGAAGCAATACCTGATTTTAGAACAACAGATCATCTGCGTCAAGAACACAGGCAGTTGGTTGAAAAGATTTGTATGTTTTATTAAAAGAAGCTAAATATGGGGAAAGGGTAAAAAAGACAAAAAGCTCATCAAAGGTATAAGAAAGTTTCAAAATTACTTGGATCAAAATCCAGAGATAGTCTAAGGCGGTTCCAGAGTTC